TGATAAGCTCCTGTTCACTTCAACTGATTACCTAACTATTGAGGCATCCAAATTAATTAGCGACTTTGGAAAATTGGGCGGATTAGTTGTGTTCCCATCTGCCTCATTCTTGTACTGCTCCCTGTGTAAATAAAGCCATACTCATCTGTTCTTGCCAAAGCTAAGAGAGGAAATAATTGGTCCCAGCTTAGTCATGAGCCTATATGTCTTTTAAAGTCAAGCTTTGCAAGGTAGAGTCAGCAGGAAATAGCAAAGAATTCATTTAAAGAGTGCTGCACTGCTTCAGTCTGAACTTTCAACTTCCATTTTTAAAGGGACGCTGGCTGTGTCACCTCCATGTGTGACATACCTCAAACGGCTCCCTGGAACACGTCCTAGCAGACCACAGTTGTGTGGTGGTTGTGTGGTGCTGCCATCTCCTCCTAGTTCCAAGTTGTTAGATCACCTTGAGAAAAAGCTTAAAACACATGAACTACTTTCCTATCATTACTTTTCCTTGCTATTGAGTATGTTATTCAGTTGTCAGTGAGAGGAGAGCTTGCATAAGGGGAAATCCAGGAGATGTTCTCACTGTTAAGATGTGGTTCTCTCTCCGAAGAGGACTGAGAATCCCTGACATTAAAATATTCATCTGGTGGGGTGTGTCCATTCTGGCCATGCTAAATAATATGTGTTTTAATTACTGTTCGAGTTCAATGTACCCACTCTTTATGCAGTATCTATACAATACAAACAGCAGGGGTGCCCTCATTAACTCCCACAGTCATTTTCAGTGTTGGTCTGAAGCACAAATAAAGTACAGAAGAGATCAAAGGTCTGTAGGGTGGTTGTGGAAGGGAGGGAATTCTCAGCCAAATGAATTTGCCACTGAACAAAGGTTTCCATTTGGGAATATAGATGAAGATGTGAGAGGGTATTTTTGTTTTCCAAACCTTGCTTTGTTCCCTAGAACCAACTTCACCTCTCGGGGATTAAGCATACAATGCAACACGGCTTTACTTTGTAGCATCTATTGTCATTAGAGAGTTAGGGTCAGATTATCAAAGATATTTGGGCACCTAAAGATGCAGATGGGCACCTAGTGGATCTATATTTGACCTAATAGGCATGTTTGAAAATCCCACTAGGTACATTTCTTCTTTGAGTAGCTGAAGACATATATTCCAAGTAGGTGTGTGCGCACCCCAAATGCTGGAGCCGGAGACTTTTGCCTAGCAGAACCATTAGAGGGGCAGCATCCGGCGATATGAGATGGCACCGCCCCAGCCCCCTTCAGTTCCTTCTCATCACCCATCGTCTGGAGTCAGAGCTCGTGTGGTGGTGGTTTTCACAACCTTACATTCATCTTTTTTGTGTAGCTTATTGTACATAGTTAAGAGTTAGTTTTAATAAAAAAAAAATAGAGAGTATTAGTGGCTGTGCCCCCCCCCCCCCCGATGCCCTCCCCAGGTTTAAGCATTGTCCTTCGTGTGGAGTAGCGTTTCCCAACAGTGACCCCACACACAGTGCTTGCTCTGCCTTGGCAAAGCCCATCTTAAGGAGCGCTGTTCATCTGTAGATGGTTCAAGAGGAGGACTCAGGTGGTGCAGGTCCTTTGCCTCAAACAGCACCTGCTTGAACAAGCCACGTGGCTTGAGCCCACACAGGGGACTATCTCGGGCCGCAGATTGCCCTGGGGCTCAGAAAGTGCTGCTGCATCTTGTTCTGGGGTAGTGACCTCTCCGAAGAGGCACAGGAATCGTTCTCCGTTGTTGGCACCAAAGAAGAGTTGTCCAAGGGGAATTCTTCTGCCTTCCCTGGCATGGGACCAGTCCTGGTCCGCAGGATGGCATGTGTACATCTGTTTCTCCTTTTGGTACAGGGCAGGAAGGGGAGAAACCCTGTACTGTTGACTCCAGTTCTGGCCTCCAGGCATCTATTTAGAGTCCAGTACTGACTGGAGGGATGCCAGTACTGACCGTGTCTGTGATGTCAGCATACCAGGCTGTAGCGGACTTACTGTGCCTTTTGGTCCCGTCATCGCTGCTGGTCAAAGACTTCGCGAAGCTGGTGTCTGCAGTGGCCCCCCAATTAATGAGGTGCTCCTCAAACCTGTGAGTGCTCTTTGAGGTACACCGGCTTCGTTACCGCCAGTGGTCAAGTGCTTGGAGAAGCGCTATTTTGTGGCTGTTCAGGCATACAAGGGGGTCTATTCCCATCTGGCCCCAAACTCCCTGGTGGTCATGGCAGGACAGGTTCAAGTCCACGTCCAAAGACAGAGAGACTAAGCGTTTGGACCTTTTGGGCAGAAAGGTATGCACCTCCTAATGGTTACAGATGAGGATTGTGAACCAGCAAGCTTTATTGTCCAAATATGACTTTCTCAATTGGTTGACTATGGCCAAATTTGAGGAGCAGTTGCCTGAAGTGTCTTGTGATGAATCTTGTGTGTTTGTCACCGAAGACTGCTTGATGGCCAAGATTTCTTTGCAATCCGCCCTTGATATTGTGGACACCTCAACCAAAGTGATGGCCTTGGTGATTACTATGAGGAGGGCTTCCTGTCTCCAAAACTCAGGGATTGCTCTGGATGTCCAGCAAACAATCGAAGACTTGCCTTTTGATGGCAGAGCCTTGTTTTCAGACAAGATTGAAACCCTGCTTTCCTTTAAGGATTCCAGGGCTACCGTAAGGTCTTTGGGGGTGCATATGCTGCCCATGCAGAGACACCACTACGGGGCACAGCAACAACAACTGTACAGACCACAGCATCCTTTTGTCAGCCCTTCTCCTCGAGACAGTGAGACTAATCTAGGAAGAGGGAAAGGTCTCACAAGAGGAAGCACTTGAGCTCAGGGCCTGGCTGGGCTGTTCGCCCTCCTTTTGCACCTGTTAAGCGCCCATTTTGACTCATTGGTCCAGAGCACCGTTCCAGTTCTTCTTCTTCCACTCTCATTGCCTCCCACCCCCTGTTCCATTGGGGACAGGCTGGTCTGGTTTTATAATGCCTGGGTCTCAATTACCTCTGACAGTGTGTCTATGACCCAGCTGTAAGATCGGGCTATACCAACCAATTTCTCTCCACGCACCAGCCTCACTCTTCAGGGACCCCTCTCATGAGATGCTGCTCTTCGAGCCGGTCGGCTGTCTGCTAATGTTGGGAACGGTGGAGGAAGTTCCGCGAAAACCCCAGCGTCATGGTTTCTACTCCTGGTACTTCCTGATACCAAAATCCAAGGGCAGGATGAGGCCCATCCTCAACCTTTGTGGACTCAACAAATTAATCAGATATGTGAGGTTCCACATGGTCACACTCTTAGCTATCTGCCCTCCTCTGTCTTAGAGTGACTGGTTTGCTGCTCTTCAGGATGCTTATTTTCATGTGGCCATTCTACCAAGTCACAGGAAGTTTCTTTGCTTCTTAGTAGGAGAATGCCATTTTCAGTACATAGTTATCTCATTCGGCTCTCTTCCCCTTCTCCTTCCCCCTGCCCCCCCCCCCCGAGTTTTCACCAAATATATGGCATTGGTCATGGCATACCTCTGGAGGAAGGGAATCCACATCTTCCCCTACCTTGATTACCAGTTGCTAAGGGGCAGTTCCAGAGAGGAGGTTCTTGCCCATGTTAACACCGCATACCATTTACTCAACCGATTGGAACTCATTCTAAACACCACTAAGTCAACCTTGGCTCCCACTCAACAAATGGAGTTCACTGGGGCTCTGTTAGATTCCACAAAGTTGAGGGTGTTCTTGCTGAGCGACTGCTTCCTGGCAATTCAACAAATGTGTCTCCGTCTACAATCGCAACCTTCCATGACAGTTTGCGTGTGTTTGAGCCTGTTGGGCCATCTGTCCAGTTGCACCCAGGTGGTCTAGTTTGCCAGGTTGCGTCTTCACCCTCTTGTGATGTGGCTCAGGACAGTTTACCGCCCAGCCCTGCATCTCTGGACTGGTTGATTCACCTTCCTCCACTGGTCCTGGAGTCCCTGCACTGGTGGGAGTCCCTGTGCAACTTGTGCCAAGGAGTTCCTTTCACTTGGCCCTCCCCGATCAAATCAGTGATTAACATTCATCCCTTCTGGGTTGGGGGGCGCATTTGGACTTGTTGAGGGTGTAGGGCCTGTGGTTGGAACAGGAAGCCTTGTTCCACATCAATGTATTGGGGCTTCTGGCTATCTACAATGCATGTCGTGCCTTCCAGGACCACATCAGGCATTCAGTGGTTCACTTACTCACCAATAATACCACCACACTGTACTATGTGAACAAACAAAGGGGAGCCCACTCCAGATTGGCTCTAGGCAGAGCAATCAACCTATGGCAGTTCTGCGTCAAAGAAAACATCACCCTGGTAGCTGTCCACTTGCCAGGGGTGCAGAGCCATCTTGCCGAGTGTCTCAGCAGGTTTTTTTCCCAGAGCCACGAATGGTCCCTTAAAGGAGTGTCCTTCAGATTGTTTTTGCAGCATGGGGCATCCCCATG